TCATAAATTCCACTTTCTGGTTTCATTTCAGTCACATGTTCTCGTTAATACCATGGTTTGTCTGTGCCCCACTTCTGTCAAAGTGACGGAGAGAGCAGGTGCCAGAAAACGAAACTGCCGTGTCGCTCTCATGCGCCTTTTAAACGCCACCGTTTGATTAGAGCACTTAATTGGTCTCTTGCACGACACGATTGCCAGTAAACTTAAAATCAGCACCTGAATAAATGTGCAGGATGTGCTAACATTTGAGATGGCTCTTTCTCATGTGGGCTTGCATTAGTGTGAATTTTAAAGCACTTGACGTCGCTGTGCATGATCAGGTTAGTCCAGAAAACGTGCAGTCACTCCAATATAAACTGAAATTTGCTGCCACTTGACTCGGCTTTTCTTCGATTTCGTTCTAACCGTATATAAAAGAGCCCTTCCATTGATTGGTCAGGTCTAAACTCTTTGTTTAATAAAACAATCTGTTGCTGCCACTTGACTCGGCTTTTCTTCGATTTCGTTCTAACCGTATATAAAAGAGCCTTTCCATTGATTGGTCAGGTCTAAACTCTTTTGTTTAATAAAACAATCTGCAGTACCTACAGCCATCATCGAATCCCGTAACTTGACGTTCGAGTAATAATGTTAGCTGGAGTGCTTGATAGGAAAGGACATGGCAAATTTTCATTCGTTGGCTCCTCAGTTGCTGGCGGTCACAGCCCCGTTTTTCCATTGTGTAACGATGAGGAACGATTTCTGTTAGTTCCCCAGTCAGTGAGTCACTGCTTGCAACTCCTTCCTGTTATTTTAACTAATACGAATGTACAAGTCTAATAGCGGACACCAGTTACTTAAGATTTTTATAAGTAGCTTCTCTGTATCTGTCGTCACACGTTTCTAGCTATTGTAGCCATTTGTTCTTGTTAAAGGGATGTCATGTAAACCAGAAATCCTTAATATATTCCTTTTATCTCACTGGAGTGTAACAGCGTTCATAGCGTCGGAGAAATCTCATCTGTTGAGGTTGTGTGGCAAATCGTAAGGGGACCATCCACGACTGTCCCATTTCCTGCTGAGAAAACCCACCGCCCCTTTCATTCTTAATATCATTAATTATGGTTTTATGTCTCTCTCTGTGGGGGTCTGTGTACTTATCAGGCAAATGTACCATAAGGTTTGACTAGCTTTCAAAAGCCAATATTGTATCGTGTGAGTTATTTTCATACTTTGAATTTCCAATGTGGTGAATGAGGGTTGGGTGAGTCTGGTATATCCTTTAGCATGTAATAGTTTGTACAAAACAACAATAACAACAAAAAGTTTATTTTGTACATACCTTGTTTGATTCTTTACTGTGTTTGATGTTCAGGCTGTAGCTGTCCTGATTGTCTAGGGAGAAGTCACACGAGAATATTTAACACTTTCTTTATGGAGAGGCAACAAGAAACAAAACATTGTTTATGGATAATTGGCCGATCTGACAGACAGGCAATGTTTGTGCTTCTCAAATTAAAAGTGAATTATATTGTACTCGGACGTCTTCTGTCTTTCTGTTGTCCTAGAAACATGTTTTCATCAGGTTCATATATGTAGCCAGTTCAATTGTTACAGATATACTGCTTTGATCTGTAAGAATTTGGATTAGACCTTGCATTTCTTTAACATGTTTATATACATTTGACATATTTATATAATGTTTAAACCCTTACAAACATATTACAGTTGTTCACGCTAATGTTCAAGGTCAGCAGAGAAAGGTTGTGGTTACTTATTTATCTGCACTGTAATTATCTGGATAAAATTATCATGTGGTAAAATTTAAAATTATCACAAAACAGTAAAAGGAAGCTTAAAAACACATTTTTTTTACTTTTCCAGGCTGCATATATATAATTTTTTTTTTTTTTAACTGCAGAACTTTTGTTCACTTTAGCCGAAGCAGCCTGGAAAGAAGAGGGGAAAACTGCATTTAATTTACTATAATTTAAACTAAAGCAGCAATATTTGGATGATAGCGTTTTCAAATTTGCATTCTGGAAACCGCTTCCTATTGACCTTACCAGGATGCTTTGAAAGGTACTCAGTTGGAAAGACAGCTATTTAGTCTTTGTACTGCCATCTAGCGGCGATGATACTGAATCTCGCACATTCACATTCATATATTTGGTTACCAGCATAATAAAAAAAAAAGTTCTATTCTCCGTTATTGATTTACTCGGTTCCGTCGTCTTGTCATGTGATCTGAACATGAGGCGACCCGCTATATATAAATTTAAAAAACTGCTTTTGTTATTGATTTACTCGGTTCCGTCGTCTTGTCATGTGATCTGAACATGAGGCGACAGATTTTTAAACAGATTTTTTTCAATAGTCTTGGACTGGTTTTTCACATGTGAAACTTTAAAACGTAAAAAATGACACTGTACCTTTAAGTATATCTAGTGTTTATAACCATTACTGTATAAAACGCATCCACTGAGTAAATAATCTGAACTTCTGAAGGGAAAAGGAAACCAAAAGAGCAATCTCAAAGGACACAGAAAGCAGTTTAATACGGACTTTATTTCCAAATTCACGTTTACAGCAAGGAGTATCAGTGTAAACCAATTAATAAAACACATTACGATAAAGACGACCACAACTGTCAAGCTAGAAAGAAGAACCGCGATGAGAAGAGCAGAGGCGGGAAATGAAACGGAGGAGAGAGATAGAGAGACCTCGGAACTGGTTAACAGATTATTACGGAACCGTTTGAAACACAGCTAAAGGGTAGAATTACTTAAAAGGCCTTATCCAGTGCCATTTTTAAACATTTTATCTGATAAGTCTGTTCTTCAGCTTAACCCCACGCGTCTAAATGCTCAGGTTTATGTTAGCAGCATGCTGTACAAAGGACGGCCGCAGTGTTGGGTTTACAGCAATCCGTCTAAAGCTTCTCAGGGTCATGTGAGAGAGATACATGTGGCACTAGTTAAGACCTTTACTGATATTGTGGATTCTGGATGCAAATTATCCCTCTATTTTACCTATTATATTTTTTCCCATTTCTAAATGCAAGATATACATCTAAATGAGTAATGCAGTTTGTGTAGAGGCAGCTCTTCTGTCAAATCAGTGCATTCACTTTCAAATGAGCGTAAAGCTGCAATGCACTGCGGATATTAAATAAAAAGCTTCGTGTCGGATCCAAATCAGATCTTCTGAACGCATTCGTACATCTTTTACATCTTCCACGCAATACTATTAGAAAAAAAGAGAGCAACATAAACCTGGATTTTAGCAGGTAGCTTTGTTCCTTCAATCTTCCTCCATTTTTTTTTTCTTCTTTCTTTTCATATTTTAAGATGAGTTAAACGCTCTAGTAAAGGTAGTTTTCTAAACAGTTGGACAGGGGTGTGGTGACTGTGGTTACTATATTCAAGACCATGGGTGAAGTCCATTGCATGCTGGGAATGTGCAGCGTGTGAGCGTTGTGGTTTGGTTTGATGATTATATTGAAGGCTTTAGTACTGAGGGGAGCTTGGCTATGTGTTAAATGTCCTGCATCGTGTTTCACACCAAACGAATCAGCTCTGTGCTGCTGTACATGACTGAATCCATCTTAGACCAAAGAGAATCTTTAAAACATAGACAGTCTTCTCGAATGTAGCTGATGGACACCGGGAGGCACTTTTCTATTGTCTGTTCTCAATATGAGATTTCCTGATGTGATGTTAGTTATTTTATTGAGTGCTTTGAATTGAAATCCTCTCATGTCTTTTGCATTGGTCCATACACGCATGCTTTGGAACAGCATTTTAGACACAGAAGCTGAAATCCATCAATACAGAAGCATCATTACCATACAGATATAAGTTGAAGGAAACAATGAAGAGGATGTACCGAGTGATATCTCAAGTTTGATGGTGCTTGTGCAGGGCAAACTACTTCAGAGCTCAACAGTAAGGATGACAATGTGATCTGGGGCCTGTGTAAGGCAGTCACTGCATCTTATATTTGGTCTCATAAACCTTTTAAAACCGCAATCATGTTTGTTTTGAAAACGGAAACTTCAAGCGATGTAAGAATGATGCAATGGTTGTCATTTATTAATAAGGTTTTGCATTATATGTCATTTAGCTGTGTAAAAAAAAATCATCTTTCATGCAGTTTCATTTTTTATAATTTGCATCAAATAATTGTAAAAAGATCATTTTAAACAAAATGTTGCTTAAAATTTTTTTTTTAAATAACAAAAGCTATATGTAAAATTGCATAGCTTTCATGGAGTCAATTATTTGCATTAAATCATTTAAAAAAAAATCTAGAATTAAAATGTATATTTTTAGAGACAAAATATGTTGCTACAAATTAAATATTTTTAAAAAAAATGTGAACAACTGTCCAGATAGACAAAAATCCTTATTGTTGAGCCCTGTACAACAGTTTATTTCAATTTATTTTAATGATTTTTATATATTGACATTTGCTTTCTTCTCTGTCAAGAGTCGCTAGAGGCAGCAAGCAAGATTTCATTCAGCGATGCAACTTCCTGTGCATTTATGAGGACAGATAAGCCTTGGGAATTTGCTGTGGTGATGAATGAGGATGTGCAGTTGAATAAAATTCACAGGTAAAGTCTGGTACCGAAATTTCCAAACTATGATTGAATTACAGCATCCTAGACTCATCTGAATAATGATTTATCAAAGTCTTTACTGTTTTAATTTGGATCGAACACACAATTGAGGTGTTTTGTGAATTTAAAAGCTTTTATTAAACACCAAAGCATGCACTATAGTGCTCGCTGACGCATTTGATTGAAATAATTATATAGCAGGCCTCTATTGTTGTTAAATATGTGTCCGCTACAGCCTGATTGCCTCAAGTTATACCTAGGAGCGTTTGAAATGTTTCTGTCCTATCAAATTCATAGCCAGTATCATTAACTGCACCCTTCCAAACCATGTAGCATGTCTGCCTTCCCTACTGCTGCATGTCAAAACAGGAGTGCATAAGTTATGGTAAATAAAAACATTCACAATAAGGCAACGAAGCAAATACAGCTTTGAAAGCAAATGTCATTGTTGTTTCTTTTAAAAATTGGGGTATTAAACGAACAAAATCAGGCTACTCAGTGCTGTAAATGACCATTTGGATCAATACACCACCAGCTCCCTTTAAATTGTAGTGTGTTTTTTGTTTTTTTTTTGATACTAAGCCAATAACATCAATACCTGTCTTTCCGTGCCAGGAGGCAAAAATTATTTAACAAGCAGACAAGCCGCTGGGACAACCTTTAGTTAGGAAAAATCTGACAAGCACCTCTTTTGAAAGGACTGAAGGAGATACATTTTTAACTTTTTTTTCAATTTGTCAATTGCCAACACGTTTGGGCCGGCAGCTCACAGGCCTTGTTTAGCGAGGGAGGCTGACACCTGATCAGCTAGCGTGGACAGTTGCGGGGAGTCGGTCATGTTGATGCTGCCGGAGGAAGACACGTTGCTGAGGCGGCGGGGCGATCCATCCGTGGAAATGTCGGGGGACCGGCACACGATCTCAGCACCGTGGTCGGTGCGCGCTTTGGCTTGCTCTCGGAAATTTAGCTTGTGGCTCTCAATCTGATGGGAGGAAAGGAGGAATTTGGATTAAATTGGATGGACATGAACAATTGTCAGGTTTTGTAAGATAATATGTGCATAAAATAAAATGAAAGGTTGTATGTATTGTTTGGGGTCACTAAGATGTATTTATTTATTTTTTATATCACCGAGTTTATTACAAAGGCTGCTATTATTTGATCAAATACAAACTAAAACAGTATTATTGGAAAATGACATTCGTGACCCTGGAGCACAAAACCAGTCTTAAGTTGCTGGGGTATATTTGTAGCAATAGCCAAAAAAAACATTGTATGGGTCAAAATTATTGATTTTTCTTTTATGCCAAAAATCATTAGGATATTAAGTAAAGATCATGTTCCATGAAGATATTTTGTAAATTTCCTACTGTAAATATATCAAAACGTAATTTTTGATTAGTAATATGCATTGCTAAGAACTTTATTTGGATAACTTTAAAGGCGATTTTCTCAATATTTAGATTTTTTTTCACCCTCAGATTCCAGATATTCAAATAGTTGCATCTCGGCCAAATATTGTCCTATCCTAACAAACCATACATCAATGGAAAGCTTATTTATTCAGCTTTCAGATGATGTATAAATCTCAATTTCGATAAATTGACCCTTAATGACTGGTTTTGTGGTCCAGGGTCACATTTTTTATTTTAATATATTTTGAAATGTAATTTATTGATGCAAATCTGAATTGTCAGCATCATTACTCCAGTCTTCAGTGTCACATGATCCTTCAGAAATCTTTCTATAGGTGCGTTCACGCCATATCGTAATTACCACAATTACGATAAACCAACTTGTAAAAAGCATTCACTTCCTCGTAGAACTTGTAATTGCAACTTGTGAACTGGGAGTTTTCTGAAAGCTACGACTTGTACCACCTGACCACCTCAGATTCATTAGGTGCTATGTTTAGGCATTGATAGTGCGATAGTTCCGTGTCTTGAGTCCAAGGATGCAAACAGCTCCAAGTACAATGCCACATGTTGTCATTTCAAAATGACAGTAATTACGATATGGCGGGAATGCAGCATAATACCATGATTTACTGATTATTATCAGTGTTGAAAACAAGTGTGCTTGTTAATGTTTTTGTGGAAACCGTGATTTTTTTTTAGGATTTCTTAATAGAAAATAAAATAAATAAATAAACAGCATTCATTTGAAATAGTTTTACAATCACTTGTGATCAATTTAATGTGTCCTTGCTTAAAGTGGTTTTGAATGGTAGTGTGTATTTGTTATAATAATCTGCATATCTGTCCCAGCTTCATTTGCAGAGACAGCTGAAAGTCATGCAGTAAGGCTACCCTCTAGTGGACTTACATGGACAACTAGATGCAATATGTTAAGGTGGGTCTTATAAAAAAAAAAAATATATATATATATATA